CCCAAACCTCTCCATTTGCCACCTGATCCCCAATTTATTTGTAAAATCTTTGCCCTAAATCTCAACGTTGGGCCCCGGGCTGCAGACACGGGGTCAGAGGTCAAGATCCGGGTCAAGAGGTGACATTTGGGGGAAAAGACTGGGGTTTGGGGACACTTGGGGACCAGGAGAGTGGGGGCGGGGCCAAACCAACTATGGTCATCATAACCACCAGCAGCACCAGCCCAGTCAGCAAAACCACCGGAACATTTGGCGCAGAAATAGGATCCGGAATCCTCGTCATGATGGTACTTCATGATCAGGTTGGCCAATGAGAGCCCAGGGAGCTGGGGAAGATTTGGGCCAAATGCTCATAATTGAGGTAAAATGAAGAGGTGGGGCAACGGTGACAGAGTTTGGACAAAACTTGCCAAGATTGGAGGACAACGGATGGGCTTTTGGGGAAGGATCAGAAAATTTTGGGACTTTGAAGGCCCAGTGCTGGTAGCTCTGGACAATGACCAGGAGCAGCAACATAAGCAACAGCACCAGCACTGGTACCACAACCAGAATCAACACATTTGGCGCAGAAATAGGATCCGGAATCCTCGTCCTTGAGGCTGTTCATGGTCAGCGTCACCGAGCTCTGCCCGTTGTCGCTCGTCATCGTGAACCGCCCTTGCACCGACGGCGCGTAGAATGTTTTGCCGCTCCTTCTGCTGATCGTTGAGACGAATTCCAGCCCCTGCCCGGGTCTCTGGCGGATCCAATACAGGGTGAAACTGCCAAAATTGAAGCCGGACCCTCGGCAGAGGAGGCGCAGGGACCCCCCGGGGGGCTGGAGGTCCCCCCCGGACTCCAGCAGGGTCACGGCCGCCCGGAGCCCTGCGGGAACAAGGGGAGATGGGGATGAGGAAAGGGATCTGGGTGTGGCAGAGCCTGGGCGTGGCCAAATCCAGAGCTTGGTGGGACCCACCTGGGACTATCAGCAATGCCAGGACGAGGAGAATGGCAAGGTCCAAGGGTCACAGTTTGGGGCCAGGAGTCAGGATTTGGGTCAATGTTTGAGCTGTGCCCATCCCCCAGCAGGGTCCCGGCCTCTCCGCAAAGCCCAAACCTTCACTGGTTTTGTCTCAAACTCCCCTGGTTTGGTCCCAAATCACCACCAGAAGTTTCCAGTATCCTAAAGGGCCTGAAATTCTGCAATTAACCCCGATCGACTCATTAATGAGTTTGACGTTTCCACCTGAGCTTTCCATCCCCCCATCCCCATCTCCCCTTTGTCCCGCAGGGCTCCGGGCGGCCGTGACCCTGCTGGAGTCCGGGGGGGACCTCCAGCCCCCCGGGGGGTCCCTGCGCCTCCTCTGCCGAGGGTCCGGGTTCGATTTCGGCAATTTTGAGATGTACTGGATCCGGCAGAGACCCGGGCAGTCCCTGGAATTCGTCGCACAGATCAACAGCAAGGGCGACAACGCCGTGTATGCTGCAGCCGTGCAGGGCCGGGTGACGATCTCCAGGGACAACGGGCAGAGCTCGGTGACGCTGACCATGAACAGCCTCAAGGACGAGGATTCCGGATCCGATTTCTGTGCCAAATCTGGCGCTGCTGGTTGGGGTGCTGCTGCTTGACCCCGTCCCCGTCACCGTGTCCCCCCCTGTCCCTGTGCCCCAGACCCTTCCCCCCAGCCCCCGACCCCGTTCCTGACCCTCTGTCCCACCCTTGCTCTGCTCTGGCCCCAAATCTCAGCTCCTGGCCCCAAATCAGGGCCGGTTTCACCCTGAGCTCAGCCTTGGCCCCCCAATCCCAACCACTGCCCCCAGACTTGGCCGGTTTCACCCCAAATCTCCCCTGCTGGCACCGAGTCAC